TAACCTTTTGATTTCGACCTGTCATAAACAGTGCTTATCTGTACATAATTTAATGATGTGATGGCATTATCACAGCCTTCAACCGCTGACTGTTGTAATGATTTAGTGCTTCTTTTTCAATTTCTTTATGTTCAAAAAATTGTCAGATGCTTCATATGAGTTTAAGGAATGAACAAGGCCTGCAAGTGGGGAATCGGTGTTGCCGTGGTCTTAGTGCTAGCCATCATCGCAGTTGTTTTAGCGGTCATACTTCCTGGCAAAAAAGATAAAAGTGAGATTTAATTTCATTCTCGAGCAGCTACGCAAAGCATATGGTGCTTGATATCTTAAACAACATTACAGTATTTACAGATGAATCACCTATTCTGTATTTTGCTATGTATCTCGGCGACAGCGACAGTGTTTCTGCGATGATCACACGAGAAAAATTTGGCGAAAACGAATGTAGCCTTGAAAAGGTACATTTATGCTGAACGAGAAACTCTAAATTGTCAACCACAAGAAAATATCAATCAATTAGTTCACATCATACAGGCAATAGCTGCGAAAGTCTCTTTACTATTCACAATTATCCGATGTCTTTCACTTACAAAAGCACTCAGCAATCATCGTAGAAAAGAATGCTGAATAACGTAAATGTCACTTATTACTTGGTCTTCTACTATACAAAAAAATGTTTTTTGTGAAATGAAGGTGACTGCAAGAAAAAAGGTGTTCAGCAACCTCAAAGAAAAAATTTATCGTTTTAGAATAAGCGAAACACTCGAGCGGCAATATCAGCAATGAAGGACGTGGATCAACGTTATGCGTTCATTCTCTATTCTAATGCTATAAACACTACAGATTCAATGGACGCTACAGAGGCTCTTGCACATCTTGATAATGTAGTACACATAGCGGGATCATCCTCCACTCAAGAATCGTGGGTGAAGTTTTGTGCAAGAAATAAGGTGCAACCTATAGCTCGATACGTTACATGTTATACACATGGTAAAAATGACAATAGTTCGACTTACAACTTACATATAGAATGGGTAGCCATGCGAAATGTGTTGTTCAAAGTGCATCTCAAAAATTCCCCACCAGCAACCTTAGAAGCTTCTAATTTCAACTTATCTGGTGATTTTTCAGATTGAATCAACCGTATAATTACAGAGTTGCCAAGGAATATACAGCTAAGAGAAACGATGATGACCTTTTTGTCTTCTACATTCCATGCGGCTACGACTATAGGTTAGTTTTTATTATTTACCAGTATGTTTAATCGAAACTAACGGGAATGCTTTTCGCACATCAATATTTAGGGTGTCCCTAAAAATGTATCGAAGTTCGATCTTTAATATCTTCTTTGTATGAAACCCTTCTCGGATCTTTGGGT